TATCTTAATAAAATAGTGTTAGGGTGCTGAGAGGGAGTAAGGTTCGAAACTCTCACTCTCAAAACCCTCATTGTCGAACTCTCAAGGTCTGTTTTCTTCAGTTTTCTTCAGTTAGCAACCTGAATCCCTTGAACAGCAGCTAGTAACTCAGCTCTTGTAGAGTCTCCCACTCCCACCGGTCCTGAGAATAATGAGATGATGTTGTTGTCCTTATTCCTTAGCACACCCCCTACTCCCGAAGGCCCAGGATTACCTTGTCTGCTCCCATCAAAGTTCAATTTAATGACACCTTCTGGGGGAGGTTCCCACTCTACCACGTTTCTATTCTTTCTAGTGGAAGTGTTAGCCACTTCTAGCCAGTTTCTCCAAAGATCATCAAAAGAGAATTCAGAAAACAGGGGCAAGGTCTTCAACCAATGGATTACACTAGTTAAGATACAGTCCTTCACTTCAGCCAAGCTTCTTTCCTTCTCTAGGAATGTTCTAGCATTCCTTTCCTCCCAAACAGTCCATATTATAGCTGCCCCGGTACAATTCCACATGATTTTACCTCTTCTTGTGTGCCACCCAAAGGTAGATGGAATAAACAACATACATCAGATGGCAGCCGGCAGGTTCCACCTACACCCAAATAAACTAAAGCTCCAACTCCATAAGGCTGTAGCAAAGGAGCAAGAAATCAGTAGATGGAAACAGTTCTCATTCTGGGCCTTGCATAGGAAACACCAATTAGGGGAAAGGCATAGAGGTCTCTTCTTTTGCAAGTTTTCCAAAGTATTGATTTTCCTGTAGAAAACTTCCCAACAGAAAACAGCAATTTTGGGGGGAATAGGTCTTATCCAAACTTCTTTAACAGGGAACACCCGAGGGTTAGGGTTGGTCAAGAGGGATTTTAGAAAGTAAGCACAAGTGAAGGCTCCTTTTGGAAGGGGGGTCCAAACTCTTTGATCAGATTTAGTGGGGTCCAAACCAAACAAACCGATTCGAGTAAAAGAAGTAACTCAGAAACACAAACCAGCTCATCATCCCTTAATCCCCTACAAAAGCCAAAGTCCCAACTTAAAGATAAAGGAAGTATTGGACTAGGGAGAAACTTGGAGATTGGCTCGTTTTTGTAAAGGGAGAGAGAGAATAGAGAAAAAACTAAATCTGATGAGGGATAAACTAAAAGGTACAAGACCAGCAATTCTATATGCAAAAGTGCTAGGCAATCAAGAAACATGTTAAAAAAAAAGAGTAGATGAGAAGAAGATATTGAGATTGATCACTGACAAGACTAGAAATGACATCATAAAAAACAAACGCATTAAAAAGGTCATAGGAGTAACTCCAATTAGTGACAAGATGAGGGGAAGTCAACCAAGATGGTTTGGTCATGTGCATAGATGACCAATGACTGCACCTATGATAAGAAATAACTTGGTCTAAGAAGTCTATAACAGAGCAAGGTGAAGACCAAATAAAGTACTAATTGAAGTGGGAAGAAATTATCTAAGGACTTGATATTTTGACACAAAACAAGGCTAATGATAGAGCACAATGGCAGGATAGGATTCACATAGTTGAATTCAGATGAGTTGAGTCATCAGCAATTCCCTAGTACACTAATCTCCACATGCAAAAAAGATCACTGACATGCATAAACTTGTAAAAGATGTTGATGAAGGGGATGAGAGATCCATCCTATGGACGCCCAAAGATTGCGGAATAAGGGGCGAATTTCAAAAATTTTATCTCTCCCTTCAACTGGGAATCGTATTCCCTATTTAGAAAATCATATTTTCAAGGATCAATCTTGAACCATAAACTGAACC